CAGAGCCATAGGTTTGTGATGTTGCTTCAACGGATTGAGAGCTGTGCTTACCGTTGCCCAAGTCGATGACGCTGGGCTGGCGGATTCGTGGCACTCAGTGACATGTCGCCATGCAAGTGACAGAAGTTTAAGCAGCCGAGAATCGAAGCCAGCGAGCGGAATCTAGAAAGACTCGAAACCGTTCGTGGTACCCTAAGGACAAACTCTAAGCCATTGGTGCTGAGCGGTCTGTTCTGTCGAAGGAATTATCCACGGCCTGTGTCGATGTCAAAGCTCAAAGCCCCAACGTCAATCTCTTGTTAGTGTCATCGGGACCGAAGGCTTAGTTTGACTCGCCGCTTCCCGAGTCTCCGAATGAACAGGCTTTGACCTAGTGCATCACTAAATACTCTCCCGTCGATGAAGCCATGATTGCAAGTGGACTTCCGCCCCGTCGTCGATATAATCGAACGCACTGGCTAGTCTGGCTGCTGGGTGCCTTTCACCATGGCGGAGCGATGAAACCAACGCTTGAAGATGTACTGTAGAGGATGATGGATGAAGTTTCGATATCATTACGTCGTCAGTGGCAGTTCTCTCGATATGCTTGTTTCGTCGTCCAATCCTCTTCGTCCGTTGGGGTCGTCATTCATGCGACTTCATGCAAAGCCTCCCTGCTGTGCGCCTGTGCGAGTTTGACATTCGGCCAATACCGTAAATTCTCCGACTCATATCATTGGATTGCTGGGTCATCCCCTCCCGATAAAAGCGGATGCATCCTGGCAAGTTGTTTTCAACTACTGCGAGCTTGAGTGCCGAGACGGTCCAGATCAGCCAGCGAATCGCAGTTGATGGCGAATGATGTGAGGTCTGCACGCAGGCTCTTTAGCTGATGCGCTCCTTGCCTGGCAGAAATTGGGAATACCAGAGCGTCTACCGGTAGTCCACGTGTATTGCTGGACAAAGTCAGCGTCAAACCTGGGAAATAGCTCGATGCAACGGTGCCGACAGACCAGTCTGGAGGCATTATCTATCTTGAATCACAAGGGCAACTGGAGATGTCCTCCATTGTGTGAACTTTTTCTCTGCTGTTCTCGCGCTTATACAAAGCTCCAAACAATAGCATAAGACGATAGCGTTCATCGGCTCGCGGCTCGATCAGCAGCTAGTTTCGTTCTTCCGCGGGTGGTGACATCGGCTGCGGTGAGAGGGACGTGCGAACCAAAGAATGGCGCAGCGGCTGATGCGTGCTGCAATGCAGCGAGAAAGAGGCTATGATCAAGAGACCGAGATAGGCGCGAGTGCAATAATACGGATTGGTTGAAGAAGCATAATGGGGGTATCAGATGTCCGAATTGTTTTGCTTAAACGGCCGTTCATCACCTGAGGGAGACGACGGAGTGACTTCTCACCATGGTAGCAGAATGAGACATCACAACAAGGTGGCCGTGGGGCACGTCTGTGTCGTTGCTTTATTGGATGGATGGTGGAGCAGACATCCACTCGAGATTGACGATGGTGTTGAGAAGGCAAGTCAAGTTTGCACTAAATGTAGGGCGGGTTCCCATGTAAGCGAATGCTGCTATCCGTAGAGGGACGTTTTCGTGATGATGATCGTCGCTTGGGCACACACATGGAGTGTGGAGAGAGTCATGGGTTGGTAGTCAGGTGGGTTCGATTGCGAATCTGACTTTAGTAAAGGGCATTGCGATAATAGATTTCTGGAAGAAACAAGCCGGTCGTGAGGCCGTGAGTCGGTGTTTAGCGCGTTTCTTGATTCTCGTGTTGGTGGTGGTGGTACCACGGATTGCCCATAGCAGAGAGAGGGGCAAGACAAGAGACGACAATGTGACAAGGATGTTATTTGCACAGAGACCCGACGAAGTTGAAAATTTGAACTTTGAAGACAGCTGACCGTCGCACTACGTGGATGGCATAAGGCAATGGGAGGGAACTGGGTCAATTAGCCCCTCACTCTCTGCGTCTCTGCGCTGGGACTTGCCAGAACCGTGAGGCATCTACCTGGTTGAAAGAAGCAAGTGCGACTCGTATTATCTGGGCTGGGAAAGGTCGATGTTGTTGCAAGCAAGAACAAGAACGGTCCAGGCCTCGAAGACAGGGAAGGTGGAAAGTCGAGACTCGGGAGGCAATTCTGAGGTAGTAGTAGCCTGCACAGTAGTGTCCATGTGCTCAATGCTACTACCTCATACGTGCCCCTATTCTCGTGAAGTGTAAGGTGAGGTAGTTGGCAACGAGAGCACAGATGAGTAGAGGCAACCTGAAAGCATCCCAAGAGTCAAAGACGTTACCCCTCGAACGGAGACTAACTGAGATATGCCCAAGTAGAGCCAGAAACGCATCTCCAGGGTATTTTCTTTCGGTCGTCTCCTGTTCCGGTAACTTGTTGGACATCCAGACAATCACAAACAGGTCCAAGTGCTTCAGGTTATTAGTAGAAGCGTTACATTGATAACCTGGATACCATCATGTGGCAAGTGGTGGCTTTCTACCCACTGCTGTGGCGACGCTACCTTGCCTGTGGCCCTGTGCTGCAGAGTCCCTGGCAAGCCGCAGGAGAAACTTGAGGTTGAGGCGAGGTGGACAACTCCGGGCGAGAGTGTATAGCTGGTGCTGTTAGTGTAGCAGAGAACCCTTTACTTACCACCCGGCCGGTCTACTCCTACAACTAAATTATCAAGAAAACGTTATCAGACCGGTACTATGAACTAGCATGACGGGCATCGGTTACTCGGAGAGGGACATTGAAGAGGGGAAGGATGCCATGTGCGCCAGTGCGTCGTTGCAAACGCCGTCGAGAAAAGGTACAGAGTACGTACCGCGCTTACCTTTTGCTGGAGCATCCCAGACGAATAAGGTGCAGCTGGAGTGGATGCTGCAAGTCGAAAGTGGGGTGACGGAAACCTTTGCAGTCATGGGCTCGAGGCAGGCACGGTACGTATCTTTGCGTAGTGGTGAGGTGCCTTCCCCTGCACATGCCCTGGTCTCCGGGATCCCGTCACTGCCCGTCCAGGTTGACGTTCTCCCAGGCACCGGAATCTCCAGTTTTTTCCTGAGTAGGACCCCCCGGTCCGAGATGTGGAGTCCCTGCCTCTCTTAGTCAGGTACGTACTCGCAGGTCTCTCTCTCGTTCTTTCTCTTTTTCGCCAGTGTTCTAAACATTTGGCAACCACGCACCCACGCAGCCAGTGGACCGCCCCTGCCTCTTGACACCCCGAGCTAATGATGGGCGTGGGTGTGGCTTTCTGGTTGTGCGGCGTGCTCAAGCCGTTTCAACTTGTCCCCCGTCCTAATGTCCTTCTCTCCCACTTTCACCCATGCAACCTGGAAGCTGCAGAAAACAGATGCAGATGTTGCAGGGCCCACACTTCGTACGTACACCGCGACGCAACAGCTTGCGGATGGATGCACACTCTGCACATCTTTTCCTCCTATGCACATCTGTACCTTATTCGCACTTCGACCACTCCACCATCCCCCATTCATAACCGTACTCCGTACACACTAATCACTTTTGTACACTCTCGCACACGCTAATACAACACTCTCGCACACTCATGACACTCGAGCTTTATGAAGACAGACGTTCTCGTGGCTCTCAGTCTCCCACGCACAACACAATTACACTTTAGGTTCCTGCTAGCGTGACGTCCCTCTTCCACTGTTCCACACCCACCCTTCATTCTTCATTCTTCTCCCTCTAGTTCGTCTCCGTCTTGGACTTGTGGCCATCCACTTCGTCTACAGCGTGGCCCTTGTCCATTTCTGGTTCTTCACCCCTACTGCCCTATTCCCAATCTTGCTTCTTGTCCGGCAGTCGGACATAGCTTTCCTCGTGTTTCGCCCAGTTCGTTGGACTCTGACTGGGTCTCAAGATGCAATCTCGGTCCTAACCTGCCCTGGAGAAGCTCCAAGGAAGCACGTTGGAAGCAACACTCAACCACTCGTCGTCTCTTCGACTTCGAGGTGCTTGCATCTGCATCACGGACGGACACTCCTCGACACCCCGCCGCCGCCATGTCCTCTCCTGTGTGTTTCCTACAGTACGGATACACATAGTACCTTACCCGTCGTCCCCGTTGCGGCTTGCCTCCCTTGCCCCCCCCGGCCTGCAGCAGACAACCTCCAGCTGCACACTACAGTGGCAGCTGCAGCAGTGCAGACATCAAAACTCCACGTTCCCAGCTAGTGTAGACACCACTCGCACTGCCCAAGGTCGCTGCTTCGCATGGGACATCCCCGTTGCCCGACACATGCACTCTCGTAGTCTATTTGGTCCTATCCGTACGGAGTACGGTATTCTTACAACATTCCCTTCCTTTGATACAGAGTAGAGTATCCGTACCGTCTTCTTCTCCATGCTCTTATTTCTTCCTCCCCTCATATTCAGGCTTTGCAACGACCGTATCCCACGTTGATACGAGAATTACATCCTCCCAGCGTAACTTCTTTTGCTAGTCTCAGTATAGTATACCCAAAGGTTTGTCTTCTCCCTCTGATCCTCACTATTATCTATACTCGACTCAGCTCCGTCACTTTTCTGTTTCCATGTCCTCCCCCCCGTTCGCCCCAAGTCGTGCCGTCCCCCCCCACACCCCCTGGTCTCTCTTCTCTCTCTGGAGTCTGTCTTTCCCACATTTGCATCCCCCCCTTGCCATACTGGCCCAGGGCGCAGGGCGCATAGCCTCCCGGTCGAGAAAGAGTCAAGGCTCCCTGTTAGAAAACAGACCGACCTGCATATCGAAGCAACCGAAGGGGGCCCCCATGTCAAGTTCAAGTCGAGCTTTTTTTCCCTCCTCTCCAGTCGGGTTCCTCTCCACTGCATAAGACATATATAGCCTCACTGCTCGACTTCTTCGTCCGAGGTGCCATTGTTTTACTATAGCGTGGGACCTATAGCTTCCCTGTCCTTGGCTATAGCTGTGCCAGATCTACTCCTGACCTGTACCAACTGTCATCTATCTCTCACCCTCAGAACCCTGTCTCCCTTCTCTCAAGTCTCAATGGCTCACATCGCAAGCTGTATGCTCGATGAAGGCGATTCTGCCAACCCGCCGTATATAGCGAAGCCGCTCTCCCCACTACCCCCAATGGACTCGGTATGGACATCGCTCTTTTATTCCAACTACCTACACGTCCTCTCTACCTATGAGTTATTCTTTAGCTGACCAAGCCTTGGGATTCTCTCAGACATCACAAGGTCCACCACCATCATCAACAGATCACAAGCCCTTTGTGTGGAGGATGCACCATCCGGATACCCGCAAGTATCAGCTCTTCCCAAAGGATCGCCAGCAACGGCCACCGAACAAGAGCCTTGACCCCGAGCAAGCCTTCGCCCTCGCCATGGGACAGAACGACAAGACCGAGAAGCCCTGCAGCAGCAGCGGCTCACTCCGGCTACGCATCAAGGAACACAATCTCATCAGACGGCGCAAAGTGAGCATTCCTGAATTAGGCCCCATGACGACGGTCCAAGAGGTTCCCATGGATTCACGTAAGTACTCACCTCCCAGCTTCAAGCAACACAAAGTTGACAAGATACAGCCACTATTCCGGGACGCCCACCGCTTCACGAAAGATCTATTAGCGCACCAGGACATCACATTAAGCAGCACAAGTCGAACGGGTCCGTCTCATCGATAGCCGCAGCCGACGCCGATAGATCTGGTTGCACCACTCCTGCCCGCTCACCGGACCGACACCAACGATCCACCTCTGAGAGCCAGACTCCCCGCCAACCCGCCTCACCGAAGCAACTGGCGCCTCTCGTCATTCCCACTCACATCGGCAACGTACCGCGTCTTGCCAGACAAATCTCCCACAACCGCATGCGATCCGGCAGCACTGGTCAAGACTCTTCTCAGCACTCCGCCCGCGCCGACGATTCGCCTAGGTCACTTGCTCGAACTCCGTATACGCCTTTGACCGCCTCTACGGCCCTCACGACTCCCTTATCCGCCTGCCCAACTTTCATGTCCGCCACAACTCCCGTGTCTGCTCCCATCATGGAGGAACGTGGCTCGACGAAGCCTTGGGAGATGAACTACAACCAAGACGCATCCACTCCCGTCCAGCTAAAGAGCGATAACTTTGCGTCACCTAGTACCGATAGCACTCAAAGGCCGTTTGTTCACAGCCACAGAAGGGGCCAGTCCGAGTCAGGCAGCATTATGGACCGTGGGCGGCCGAGGAAGCGAAGTGAATCACGAACTAACAACGGTCTTCTCCCCAAGCGAAGCTGCTCAACAAGGAATAAGAGCGCTGAACGCCGGGCGTTTGAAGAGCTTCCTACTGGATGGCGAGCCGGCGAGGCACCCAGCCATATTGAGCAAGACGATCTGGTAGCTCTGCAAAAGCAGGCTTTTGGACAGGCCTCACGATTTGAGGTGCTGAGGAAGGAGGATGTGGAGCTCCTTTCAAGGGTAAGGGTCACTCTGTGCTTCATTTTGAGAGTAGAAACTAACACCTTATCTAGGAACTCCGTCAGCTTGATGAGCGCACCGAATATCTCCGCCGTACCTACAACTCTCTGCGAGCTGGTCGGCGCAATCTGCACTCTCGCATCTGCCAATACCTCCGTTCTCCTCGTACGGCTAGGTTTAGCACAGACTCGATGCTTAAGCAAGAGGAAGCTCTCGCTGAGCTCGACACGTCAATCGACGACTGGGTGAACAAGCTGGAACAGGCTGAGAACCGTCGCACACGGGTACGCCAAAAGCTTCTGGAACACGTCGCTGCTGCAGCTACCCTCCCCACTCCCGCCGCGACGGCCGCGAGCGAGTCATTGCAACTCGCCATGGGCATCCGCCCGCCTCCACCAGTGGGTGTTGGAAACATCTCCACTCCTCCTCGAAGCCCCACCAAGAACTCCTTCTCTTCGCACACTGCCAGCAGCTCCCCTTCACCACAACGGGTCGTTGCCCAGGTCCCCAGCACCATCGTTGAGCAACCCGTGATCGAGGAGTGCCCCGTTGCCTCTGTCGATAAGCACGTCTCTTCCTTCAGTCACCGTCGCACCGGCATGGAAAGCATCCGCATCTACGCCGACAGCGACGTGTACGCTCTTCTGGCCGATGTAGAGAATGAAATCACCAAGATGAGCGCCGCGGCAAATCAGACTGAGGCCACTGCGGCCTTGTCGGATGACGAGCAGAAGGAGATCCATCGGGCACGTAGCCATGAGGCTCTCAGTGGGCTCGCAAATGAGAAGCCCACCGACGCCAAGGACACCATCCCGTCTCCTCGCGCGCCTTCCCCTCCAGCCAAGGATAGCCCGGCAGACGGCGAAGCCATCTTCCTCACTAGTGCCGTCTTCCGAGGCTAAGAGCCAGCCCAGCCTCAGCTCTACCCCATCTCTGTTGTCCAATACGGCAGCAGCAACTATACTACATCCCATTTCATCTCAATTTTTGTTCTGTTTCGAAACCGTTATTCATTTAACGCTTACGCTCCCTACGTCTCAAACGACTTCACGGCTGACCCATTACCTTCCTTTCCCGAGAAGCGCTATTTCTCTTTGCTACATTATCATTACTAACTTGATACCCGTCCGCGACGCTCCCTTTCTTCTGTTCTATTAGTAGTTTGTTTCACCGCATTGGCCGGCGCCACATTACCACCTTCCCTTCATCACATTGTTGTTTCCCTATAACAGAGGCATATATGTATGCATCGTCATCTACTGGGTGTTGGCGGCGCTATCCTTTTCTTGTAGGAAAATGTCTTGGTCCCGGTGTGGACAGACAGCCATTTCTTTTCATGTTACAATACCGGTTCTGTGCAACCTTGTAAGCTAGATTATCATGGTCAGTGGCCGCAGTGTGCCATCTGAACCGCAAAGTCCCTTCCTACGGGAAGAAGCGACAATCAAAAGACACAAATTTCCAAACCCCACTGTCATCAATCCTTCAATAGGTACATCAAATGTGATTCTGTGACGAGCCTTGTGAGTATATTACTCTAACAGAGCTTCCCAGCTCCCCTGTCCTCCAATGTCTTGCCTTTTTCTTTTTCCGTTCGAAATGGTGTTCTTCAACAAAAGCTGACGCTCCGACAGTGTATCCACATGGGGATCTCCAGGGTCCCTCCAAAAGCAAAGTTTCTTTTCGTTGGCACACTAAATTTTATGACTTACATGATGAGGCGTACCTTATCTTGACTGAACTCCACCGACCGACACTTTAGGCGGGTCAAGAAGGTAATTAGGAAACGGAACGTTCACCGGAAAGTAGAGTTTGGAGCACCACCAATTACGCAGGACTGACGTCGCTTCCGATGACGGATGATGAAAGTCACTATCGGGCAATTTCTACTATAGTACTGTTGTATCTGTCCGTATAGAGTTTGGACGTTGCGTCCGTTTGACTACCGGTACCGTTTTGCAGACTATGCGTATGTGGGCGGTGTGCTATGTGTGTCGCGACGCTGTGCCCTTGGGGCATCAAATACTACAGCGTCGTCTGAATCAGTTCGATTGAGTTCCTCTATGAGATATAGATAGAAAAAGGTCAGACACAATTAGCAGGTGGTTTGATCTGTCATTGAACTGGGGCAACGCTACGGCGCTATAGCGTAATAGCCTACCGAACGAAAGCCGCCCGCCGCTGCCGCACGGGGCGCCAAGCTCATTTGACGTGATTTAGTCGCATTTTCTATCTTTACTATCCGTACCAAGTCTGCTATCAAAAGATCAAGCAATGTTTAAGCAACGCCAAGCGGGGGGAGCGTAGTGTCATAAGTTAGCGTTTTTCAGATCAGATCATGTTTCGATGCCAAGGCGTTCGGCGTGACCGATTCTTTGGCGAGGGGAGGGATATATACTTGAAAATACAGCGTGACAGCCAAGTGTGCGACTGTATCCGTACAATTCGTATGTATAGAGAGCCCGCCCCCCTCCCCCCAGAAATGATGATGATCGCAGCAAAAGGTAGAGTTGTAGCACGCCCAACGATGATCTGCGGGCTTGGTGGGGCGGGTGCGACTTTGTCATGAGTCGTTTTCCGGCGCCACGATACGGTTGAGTCCAGAGCCATGAGGACGCTGAAGGTTCAGAGGCGACGGGAACGGGATGGTGCGCGCCTACGCGTGTAACCATTCTCTTAGGTTAACTGGCAACTCGACAATAGCTATTCGTCGTTGAGCAACCATTGGTTGTGGAGAAACCCTCCCACCTCAGCCTAGATTCCTGGCACCAGGGCGTGAAAGAGAGTTAGGTTGTGGTCTGCCCGCTACGATTTGCCAAGCAGCGGGTATATCAGCTAGGTTTTCGGTTCATGTTTATCTCGTCATTGATGTTGCGATGCTGCGCTGCTGGGGGGGCACTGTGGTAGTGCGCCCCAGTTCCTCTTCAGGTTTAAGTCTTGTCTGTAAGAGCAACCTTGCGGCTACTACGGTCGTGCTCTGCCGATCTTCAAGCAGGCACCTGCAAAAGGATTGTAACTGTACGGATAAGGTGCTATTTTCCGGACCACTGTATGAATCACGAACCCTTTGGAAAGGGTGTCTTGGTTGGAATTGTCTTAAGTTGCGACTAGATTCATTTACGTTCTGGACGGCTATCCTCTTGTCTTCATCTAGGTAACATGATGTGACGGCACAAAACGTCATCGCTGCAACGTGTGGTGATACAAAAGTCTCCGTTCACACACAATCCGGGGGTGGCGATTCGAAATGCGCCGCGTGCAAAACGGGCGAGACGGCGCACCCGCAGCCCGCTTCGGAGAGGCGCACGCGCCGTTTGAGAACCGTTACTTTTGTCAGTGCCAGGAGCCGAAGAAACAGCTAGGTATCTTCAGCTGGGCCCCCCCGTTCGGTGGCTTGCACCCGGGATTTTCTTCGCGAGAAAGAAGAAAAAAAAAGGAAAGAACGTGGTTGACGGCGTCGTGCGCCCGGATCCGGCACGGATGAACCGGAGGGATCTGATGTCTGCCAGCGACCTTGGAGGCTGGAGGGAGGGGGAAACTTCGAACACACCCATGTTGATTCGCTAGTGACAGGCTGACAGGCTGAAGAAATGTTCTAGTCAGGGGGTAAGCGTCTTACCAAAGTCACGACGATCGCTGTTCGGCTCTAGCTCGTTGCCCGTGGTGAGGGAAGAAACTTGCCTAGAGCCTAGAGGAAAGCCGCAAAACGCTAGCGTTGGAAACCACCAACGTCTTCTATGCTTTTCTTTTCTTCTTCGCGTTCCTCGTTTGCCGCAATTCTCGTCAAGGTGGGCACGTATGCGAACGGGTCGCGTTCTGGTAGACTGAAGGCGGAGCTATGCAGCGTGTGGCTGACTTGGCCTTCCCAAGATCCCAATCCCCTTCCCAGGGACTATGTTTTAAGCAGCTGTCAGTCACAGACAGATGACCGGAGTATCCGCCACCCGCGCGAGGTGGCAGAGATGATGGGGAGCTGTTGCGGCCGAGGCGGGGTTTGCGATTTTTGATTGTGGCTTTCCATGGTGAGGTTCTTCGGTGTTGGTGTTACGGATAGTGTTGGCCAGGTTGGCGGGCATGTTGGGGGGGAGGGGGGGGGGGGGGGGGGGGGGGGGAGCAGAACTTCGACAAGCTTGTTCTGGAACACTGGGGCCGTTTCTTGATGAACTGGGCCTCGAGTTCGCCGGGTCCGAGTTGATGAAGCGTAGCGCGCCTGTCTGTGGCTCTGTGTCTTTGTGGCTCCGTCACCTCCCGGACGTTCCATCCGGTGCGCCGGCTCGAGTTGAGGAAGGGATCTAGAGCTTCTGAGATGGGGCGACACGAGGGAAGAAGGGGTTCTAGAAGGGGTTTTTGGTACAAGGTTAGTGGGGAAGGGGCTGTTTGCAGTCTTTCGTGCATTCGCGTAGATATATCTCGTTCCAGATGGGTGGAGGATGATGACAAAATTCTCCTCCTTCAGAGCCACCCAAGGCTGACGCTTCGTTGGTTGTTTTGTAGATCCATAGTGCTTTGGGCCCTTGGCTCTTTGGGGGCTGGCTTGCGGGTGAGGGATCAAGGCAGGGCCTTGTTGCCCGTGCCTTCGTATACCGGGGGATGTCGCCGAATATGCAGGTTCAAGAATCGGATGGGGGGGGGGGGGGGGGGGGGGGGGGGCTGCAAAAGACTTGTCTCGAAGGTTATCTTCGGAGTTTTGTTTCGACACCTGGGGAAAGGGGATGTGCTCCATCTCGGGGGCTCGTTAGTTGTCGCAGATATAAAGGGCCTCCCTTCGCAGGGTAAGCTCCCCGACCTGCCTAACTTGGGTATAACGTCGCATACCAGCAGCTCATACTGATTCATCACCTTGTGCTGATTTGTACATGGTGTAGTAATGTGTTATTTTCAGAGGGAGCGTGTTGGTAGAAATAGTCCGATATGTTGTGGATGATCCAGAGTGGCATGCCAAGGTGCTACGTCATATAGGACGCCACTTCAGCTGTGTTCGCTCTGTTCGATGAAATGAAACTATAAACGACGAGGCTATCAAGAGTTGAAGACTCGATTGGTTATCCCGACGTTGGGTGACTATCCGCTTCCCTGGTGGCGAACAGAGCCCGGTTCGGCTCGCAGCAATGGTAACTAAAACGGCGACGCAGCTTTGTTCTGCAAAATCGTAGATCATACGAAAAACCAAGCGCGGTTGGTGTGATGTGTGAACTGAATAGCAGAGATCCAGTAAAAGTGTATGTATGCGGCCGCGAATGTTCTCTTGGTAGACACCCAATTCGATGTTGGATCTTGTAAGTTGATTGGATGAACACTTGTTCGCATTTTGCTTTGGTCGAGTGACACTTGGGACGAAAGGCTCCTGATGAGCGACATATGCTGGCGTGTAAAAGCGGTTAAGGCGATCTTAAGATCATCAAGACGACCCCGCACATAAGATGAGCGATCCTGCCGGTACCCGCCCGCTATTCTTCTCGTTAAAGAATTCTAGTTCGTAATCAACACGATTCTGCTGTGCGCAACCACGTTCTGTTTGTTGACTTGACAGGGATTGGCCAGGTGATGGTACTGCAGAATGGGATGAACTTGTGCCAGGCGAAAGACGGTACGGATGCAGGTACGCAGATGCTGGGAGCTGAATATGACAGCATGTGAGTGTTCAAGGCAGCCAGACGGAGTGGCTGGCCAGATCGACGCGAGAATGGCTCCGCCGCAGCAACACATTACTGGCGCCAATGAGAAGACATGCTAAGACGAGATCCGTATGCAGATGTTGAGGAATTGCCCGAGGCACTTGCGTTCTTGAGTTCATCGATTGTTTCAGCGGTTGAGCGTTGCTGTAACTTTAAACACTTGTCAAAGTAGAGCGGGGGATGTGGATCTAGCTAGGTATGGGCGCGTAAGAGTGAGTGCCTATTGC